TGTGTGTGTGTGTATATGGCGGGGGGGGGGTGTCTGTGGACTGCAGACACCAAGCACACAGCCCAAGGTTTGGAAAGGCTGTAGGCTCAAGAGGACACGAAGCTGGTCCACCACGGCCAGCCCTGCCTTCCTGCCCGGGTGCTGTGCTCCTTATAGCAAAGGAGAGCTGTCCCTGTCACCCACGTGCAGCCCAGGGGGGCAGTCATGGAAGTGACCGCAGGCAGCTGGTCTGCTCTGTGCAGGGGCCTGTGGAAGTGGGGGGATGCCTCTGTTCTGACCTCTTGCTCTCTTCCTATTCTCATAGTTGCACAAGTTCAAGGTTGCGTTTTTTTCCTTTTTAAAAATCTTTCCAGGTTTGATTCTAGGCAACGTATTCTTTTGTCACCCCTGACTGCCAGTCCTTATTTGCAAAGCACCGTGGCACCCCCTTAGGCAACAGGTGTTAATGTGCCAGGGTGGTGTGCTGGATGCCAGGGCCTGGGACACCTTTGAGTGTGGGGAAGGACCACCTCCCTTCTGGTGTGAGCCCCATTTCTGAGCTCTGGTTTGCTGCGAGCATGGCGCCATGTAAGCATGTCACTGCGTCTACGCCCCTGGGGCAGGCAGAGGGGTCACCCTGGGGCACATGCTAAACATCAGTGTGGCCCAGGTCTCCTCTGGGAACAGGGCTGGTGTGCCCTTCCTAGGGTAAGAAGGCTGCTTTCATCTTCCTTTATTCACTGGGGGTGATTCAGAGGAGACGCAGCTCCTTTGTCACCCAGAGTAACATCCAGTGCTCATTTCATCACCAAAAGTCTTGGCATGTGATTTTGTGAGACTACGAGTTGCTTCCAGAGCAGCACAGTAAGCCATAGAAAGGTCAGGGCAATTTCTCAACAGCACGGGTTTCCATGGGGTCTGGCTCTAGCTCAGTGGTTCTCAACCTTCCTAATGCCGCGACCCTTTAATACAGTTCCTCATATTGTGGTGACCCCCAACCATAAAATTATTTTCATTGCTACTTCATAACTGTAATTTTGCTGCTGTTGTGAATCGTAATGTAAATATCTGATATGCTATCTGTGTGTTCCGATGGTCACGACCCACAGGTTGAGAACCGCTGCTAGAGTCTAGCTAGTCAAACAGGGTCCTGGG